CCTCTCCGAACTCCTCCCATGCCCGAGTTTTTGCCTCAGCAACCACCCGAGCCGCATGTCGCTTGGACTGCCGGTACCCGTCAGCTGCTTCCGGGATCCCACAGGCCAAAAAGGCCCGATAGGACTCCTTCTTCAGCCTGACAGCATCCCTCACCGACGGTGTCCACCATCGGGTTCGAGGGTTGCCGCCGCGACAGGCACCGACAACCTTGCGGCAGCAGCTCTGGTAAGCCGCCTCGACAATAGAGGCACGAAACATGGTCCACTCAGACTCAATGTCCCCCACCTCCCTCGGAACATGTTCAAAGTTCTCCTGGAGGTGGGAGTTGAAACTCCGTCTCACTGGAGACTCTGCCAGATGTTCCCAGCAAACCCTCACAATACGTTTGGGTCTGCCAGGTCTGACCGGCATCCTCCCCCACCATCGGAGCCAACTCACCACCAGGTAGTGATCAGTTGACAACTCCGCCCCTCTCTTCACACGAGTGTCCAAGACATGTGGCCGCAGATCAGATGAGATGATGACAAAGTCAATCATCGAACTGCGGTCTAGGGTGTCCTGGTGCCAAGAGCACATATGGACACCCTTATGCTTGAACAAGGTGTTCGTTATTGACAATCCATGATGAGCACAGAAGTCCAACAACAGAACACCACTCTGGTTCAGATCAGGGGGGCCGTTCCTCCCAACCACACCCCTCCAGGTCTCACTGTCATTGCCCACATGAGCATTGAAGTCCCCCAGCAGAACAAGGGAGTCCCCAGGAGGTGCACTTTCCAGTACCCCCTCCAAAGACTCCAGAAAGGGTGGATAATCTGAACTGCCGTTTGGTGCATAAGCACAAACGACAGTCAGAACCCGTCCCCCCACACGTAGGCGGAGGGAGGCCACCCTCTCATTCACTGGGGTGAACCCCAACACACAGGCACCAAGTTGGGGGGCAATAAGTACAAAGTAAAGTAAAAAGTCTTCAGTTGATCCAAAATGCTACTGCCAGAGTTTTAACTGGAGTTACTGGGAGAGATCATATCTCTCCAGTTTTAGCTTCTCTCCATTGGCTCCCTGTCAAATCCAGAATAGAATTCAAAATCTTACTTCTAACCTACAAAGCTCTCAACAATCTAGCTCCATCTTATATTACATATCTTATTGTTCCATATTTTCCTAACAGACCACTTTGCTCTCAGGCTGCAGGTTTACTTGCAGTTCTAAGAGTTTCCAAAAACAGAATGGGAGGCAGATCTTTTAGTTATCAGGCTCCTTTCTTGTGGAACCAACTTCCAATCTCTGTCCGTGAGGCTGACACATTATCCAGTTTTAAATCTAGGCTCAAGACTTTCCTTTTTGCTAAATCCTATAGTTAGGGTCGGCTTGGGTTTCCTGAGCTGTTCCTTAGTTATGCTGCTATAGGCTTAGACTGCTAGAGGTCAAACTGACCACACTTTTCACTCTGCTACTGTCTTTACTTACACTGCTCAAACTGTTTTGTATTTGTAATTATTTTTTCTATCCTTAACATGTGTTTTTTTGTCTTTCAGATACACCTGGACCTACACATGGACCTATACCTGGACTTACCATTCTGTGTTTGTCTGTCTCTCCTTCCTGTTCTCTCAACCAGCCAGTCAAAGCAGATGGCTGCTTGTCCTGAGCCTGGTTCTGCTGGAGGTTTCTTCCTTTTAAAAGGGAGTTTTTCCTTTCCACTGTTGCCACTGTGCTTGCTCAGGATGGGAGACTGCAACAAAACCAAGATTCAACTTGTCTGCTGGGCTCCTTAGATAGAAAACTTTACTAATTGGCTTTTACGTATGTGGATGTTCCTGTAAAGTGCCCTGAGACAACTTTGTTGTGATTTGGCGCTATATAAATAAACTGAATTGAATTGAAGTGGTTGGGAATCCCTTTGATTCCCTTTGGGAATCACTGCCTCGATGCGACGTGGCATTGAGACAATCAGCCTGTGGCATTGACTGGGAGTTATGAAAGCCCAGATTTCCTTGATGCTTGCTGTCAGCTCTTCATTGTTGTTGGGTCTGGTGCCCCTCATGTAGGGCCGAGTACCGAACCGAGGTTCTTAAATGGCACCGACCGAACTGCACCAGTTGGTGTATGGATTGAAACGTCACTCGTTTTTCTGTGTCAAGTTTCGGTATTGGCTGTAATGTGTCACGTGGTTTCAGCACACAGGCAGGTAAAACGCAGACATATGACAAACAGACTACGTGTTTACACCCAGACTGTACAGAGCTGCCGCACCTAATCTATGTATAATGTATGTCTATGGTGCTGGTGACGCCCACAGACGGGGTTCACATGTGCAGCGTGTGTTGTCGAACGGCTTCAACAACACACAAGCAGAAAGTTGCTCCATGTTTCTCTGCAAGAAGACAGACAGACAGAAACCTCCCCCCTCCTCTCAGCGTTAGTCAGTCTGTGAGTGTTAAACGGACTGAATCAACATTCCACAGCCGGACTCGTCTTCATCAAAGAACTCCCGAGGACGGCTCTGTGTCTGTGTTTCAACTGGTAAGTTTACGTTTGTTAACGTTACTGCAGCTTAACACGTACATCGCGGTGAAATAACGCTAACTTTAAGATATTAGTGTGTAAATTTATTTTATCTACGTAGATAGCTAAACTCAGAAGCTAACTAAAGATTGACAGTAACAGATGAAGCTTGGCTTGTAAAATGTGCTCATCCATCCAGTCAGCTGCTTAAACAGTTCACCTAATGTTCACTGTTTATGTTTATCTTCTCCTCACAGGAGGTTCTGACCCAGATGTAAGGACAGACAGAAAAGCGAGGTGGGGGCCACAGGACAATCACAGACTGTTGTTAAAAGTTTGCTGTCTTTTCTACAATGGAGGCTGCATGGTGGAGGTAAGCTAAGCTGTAAAGGATATTGTTGACCAGTGGGACTCTCTCAGCCTAGTTAATGTTTTTTGAGCAATAATAACATAACCATGTTATTGTTGATGTTTTGTGTTCTCATGTCAATTAGGGAGATGATCAGAGCCCTAAACCCCAGAGAACCACAGAGAAGATTCAGGCAGAGACAAAGAGGTGCAGATGTCTGCATCACCCCTAACCTCAGTGAATCCAGTGACCTGTTGGTAGAATGTGAGGGACACTATGTCAGTGCTATCAAACTGACAACCAGGTATCTGTGTGTGCAACAATCATCATCCACACCCTCAGAGTGAACATGTTCAACTGCTGGAGACACCATCAGCCAGGAGTGGGCTTGTTTGTGTCCAAAGAAAGCAGACATGTTTCTGAAGAAAAACTGTTCAGTGAAAAGGTCCTCAGTGTGTAGCAGTGAGCATTAGACACTGACATGTCACTTGTTGTTTGCAACTGTTCTTTTGAGCTGGAAATTATTTGTTTATTTTAATGTAAAAAAAAAACTGCTTGGAATAGAAATACCAAAGTTAAAAAATAAAATTCACAATATGGACTGTAATGTGTAACATAATTTTATTCTTGTTAGAATTAATAGTAATTACAAAATTGGTACCGAAAAAAGAACCGTCCAGGAACCGACACCGAAGTGAAGGTACCGACACCGGTACAGATTTTTTTAGAAAGGTACCCAGCCCTACCCTCATGTTCCTCTTGAGAATACCCCATAGATTCTCAATGGGGTTTAGGTCCAGAGAGTTGTCTGGCCAGTCAATCACTGTGGCATGGGCATCAAACCAGGTTTTGGTGCTTCTGGCAGCATGGACAGGGGGCAGGTCCTGCTGGAAGATAAAATCTGCATCTCCATACAGATCCTCAACAGAAGGAATAATGAAGTTCTCTAAAACATTCTGGTAGACTGTTGCGGTGACCTTGGATTTAAGGAAGCAGAGTTTACCAACACCTGCACCAACCATTGCACCCCAAATCATGACTGACTGTGGATATTTCACACTGGACCTCAAGCAGTATGGACTCTGTTCCTCACCCTTCTTCCTCCAAACCCTTGGACCTTGATTTCTGAACGAAAGGCACACTTTACTTTCATCAAAAAAGAGGACAGAGAACCCGACAGTTGTAGCCCATCTCCCAGATGCGTTTGAATGTGGTGGTTTTTGAAGCTGTGACTCCCGCCTCATTCCACTCTTTCTGGCTCTCTGCCAGATTCTGGAATCTTCTCTGTTTTATAATCCACTGAAGCCCACGGTCATTTCCTTTGCTGGTTGGTGCATCTTCTTCTGCCACATTTTGCTCTTCCACTAGACTTTCCATTGATATGCTTGGACACAGCACTCTGTGAACAGCCAGCCTCCTTAGCTATGAACTTTTGTGGCTTACTCATCCTATGGAGGGTATCATTGATGGTCTTCTGGACAGTTGTTATGTCTGCAGTCTTCTCCATATTGAACCGAACTGAGACAATTGAACCGAACTGAAACAATTTAATGACACCTGGGGAAACCTGTGCAGGTGCTTTGAGTTTAGTAGATGATTAGTATGTCACACTCAAGTTTAAAACATTCATGTCCTGCAACATTTGGGCTGATGTCTTCACAATATTCTAATTTTTTTTAAATCCTGTTTTCGTGGGTTTCATGAGCTGGAAGCCTAAATTATGTAAAAATAAACAAATAAATATGTGAAATTGTTTAAATTGTGGGCCCTGAATCTATCATATATTAAAGATTAACTTTTTGAATGGAATTATGGAAGTTAAACAACTTTTCTATGATATTCTAATTTTTTAGAAAGGGTCTGGATATATAGTATTGGATCATTTTCCTCAACAAATAAATGACCATGTATAATATTTTTGTTTAACTGGCTTCTCTTTATCTCCTTTTAGGACTTGTGTGAAAATATGATGATGTTTTAGGTCATATTTATGCAAAAATATAGAAAATTATAAAGACCACAAACTTTCAAGCACCTCTATTGATTGTGCAGCACAGATTTAAAAGTATCTTGAATATATCATCATGTCCTTTGTGCAGAGACTGAATGGTGTGCAACAGAGTGTAAACTTGTAAAACTCACTGTGAGGACAGACAGCAGCTCGTGGATTGGCAGCTCTGCCTTCAGCCGCTCCTTAAACATCCGGATGGTCTGATGTTTCAGGTAGTAATAGGAGGAGATGTGACCATATGTCAGTGGCTCAATGCTTCGATCATCCTACAACATTCATGGAAAATACATTTTAGCAAACAATTGTGGAGTAAAACCAGCGAACAAAACACAACATACACACACATGCACACACATGCACGCACACCCCACACACACACATACACACACCCCCACACACCCACCCACACACACACACACACACACACACACACACACACACACGCACACACGCACACACACCTCTTTGATCTCAATGCAGTAAGAACACTCCAGGTCCCGAAAGCTTCTCTCCACCAAGTTGGACAGATATTTGTTTATGGACTCATGGCTGATGTCTTCTAGACTGTAGTAACTGAGAAACACAAAACAGCCACCATAAAATTAAAAAATACCACTGCTCCAAACTAACACAAGATTCTGGTGGAACAACATGAGCTCTAGTTGGGTTAAAGAGAACATCAGTGTATTTGTGGTGTGCTCCAGCTGAAGAGCTAATGGTCCTGACAGCTAATCATTAGGAGGATGGAGACATGGAACCTGTTTTACTTGTTCTGCATCATCCACAACATTACATACATAACACTATGATCACTAGACAATACAGAAGTACCAACAGAACAGACAAATAACACAAAAACTTGAGAATTACTTTTTTTTTTCCCACTTTGGAGTGGGAATCAGTTTGTTTGGTGGCTCCTCAGATTGAAGAAGCCCTCAGGATGAAGGACAAAACTTCTCAGCAATAAAAATAAACCATCCAGATGACCTGACTGAACATTGTTGGATTTTATATCTAGATTACTGAGCATGAACTTTGGTGTTTTGAACCACTTTGGCATTACTGTCTCAGAGGAGTTGACGGGGGAGAGGGTGGACCCCGGATGCCATCTTAGCACAAGCAAACTGTTTTTTTCCCACTATAGAGTATGCTATCCTGATACATGTTCAATAATCCAGGTAGACAAATCTAAAAAAAAGTTAAGTCTGGTCCTCTGGACATTCAAAAAAAAAAAAAAAAAGTAGAAACGTTTCGTATTTCATCCGAAAGACTTCTTCAGTCTGAGGTGCTGTATTAAGCTCAGTCTTATAAACAGCACCTTCTTGTAGTGGATCAACCAGTTTGCTGCTGACAGCCAAAACTAGCTGCTCACATGATCAAGGAGGACCATAAGCCCAATGTTGGATCATTAGCACACTGGATGGCTGTTTACTATTCACAGAGGGCTGAGTGATACTAGCAATAACAGCATTGTAAGAGGGGGACAGTTGAACGCGGAGGCCTCCACCCCTGTTTAATGATGGATGGTTTCTTTTCACAAAGATGGCCTCCTTTACTCCTCTCTCAAACCATCGTTCCTCTCTGTCCAGGATGTGCACATCATCCCTGAAAGAGTGACCGCTGGCCTGGAGATGATTGTAGACTGCAGAGTCCTGGCCTGATGATGTTGATCTTATGTGCTGGGCCATCCTTTTGGCCAGTGGCTGTTTAGTTTCCCCGATGTAAGACTGATCACAGCCCTCCTGACACTGAACAGCATACACAATATTACTCTGTTTGTGCTGGGGGACTGGATCTTTGGGATGAACCAGTCTTTAACATATTTTGGGGTTTAAAAGCCACTGGGACGTTGTGTTTAGAAAATAAATGTCTCACGTTTCTCTGATACTCCCGCAACATACGGAATGACCACTGGTCTGGGACTGGGTTTCTCCGTTTCACCTGATGGCCGACTGGAGTCCTGTTTGGGTTTCTTCTCTGCTTTCAGGAAGGCCCAATTAGGATATCCACATTGCTCTAGAGCCTGTCTTGTGTGGGATTTTTCCTTCTGCCTGGCTCCTGAGTTAAGCCCCCAGTATACTGCCGCGTACATCCATACGCAGAGGTACGCACGTATGTACGCAGAGGTACGAGCGTACCCCCCAGGGCATGTCCGTGCAAAGCTCAAATTTTTACGGCCACATACGCGTACGCGGTGTCTCACAATAAACTGCCCAGCGACGGACTGTTTTGTATGCAACACCAATGTATTAAATTCCACTTCTTCATCTCTGATCTGGCCTTTTCTCTTGTTTTTTTTGCCAAGAGGCAAGTGATCTCTTCCTCTTCCGTTGATGCCATGACTGAAATTGTGAGAAATGAAGGAATTTGTCACGAGCGAGGTCTGTGCCGGCGGGCGCAGGTTGGTGGACAGGTGGCCTGGCTGCTCCTGGGTGGGTTTGTGGTGGGTGCGGGTTCGGGGTTCTGGGAGAGTGTCGCTCCCGGGCTGGGGTCCCGGCTTGATCCGGGGGTCTCGGGTCTTGGCGGGTATGTTGTCAGGGTCTTGGGCCGGTGCATGCGCAAGCGCCCGGCCCTGGATTTGTTGCCTCTGCCGTGGGGGAGGGGGGGGACGGGTGGACTCAGCCTGGGTGTCTTCCTGCCTGGCTGTCTTCCTGCCTGGCTGTGGCTGCGGTCTGGTGCTTGGCTGGGGTTCTGGGCTGTGGGGGGGTGGGCTTTTGCTCGGGTGGCTCTGCACTGCTGGCCCGGGGGTGTCTGGGCGTGTGCCCTCCCTTGCGTGGGGTGCTCTCATTGTGGCTGTTGCTATGGTGGACTGGTCGGTCCTTTTGTGGGCGTGGGGGTGCGCTCTCGTTCATCGTGGTGCGCTGTCTGCGGCTGTTCAGGCACTCCTGGCTGATTGTCGCTGCTGGAGTTTGGTGGCTTCTTTGGTTGGGGGTCTGGAAGATCTCAGGGGGGCTTGGGTCGCTGGCCCGGGTTCTGGTCAGTCCTCGGGGATATGTGCTGGTCCGTGGCCTGGGTCCCTGGTGGTGCGGCTGCCTCCTACTCCTGGACGGATGCACTGGAGCCTCCCTCCCCTGGTGAATCTCGGAGAATGGGGGTGCATATTGGGGTCAATGGGGGAGCTGGCCCCCTGGGAGGGCATTGCCACCTCAGTTGTTCCTCCTCATTTCGACGTCTTCCTCCACCCACTCCATCACACCACCACTCAAGCAGGGCCTTGGGGTTCAGGTGCACTACTGAGCTGCGGGGAGGATCCTCCATCTCCGTGGTTCATGGAGACCTGGGCCCCAATTTTATCAAACAATCTAGACACTCGCATATAACATTCTCACAACACATGCATATATAGGGTCTGGAGTGGGCACATGGTGGCATATAGGTGGTGGGATGTGTAATCATCCTCACCTCTGGGACCTGTGCCCACTCTCATATGTAGCATGTAGACATTTAGGGTTCTGGGAAAGGGTTGGGGGGGTGAACGGGCACTGCCTGCTCTCTGGGGAGGGGGTGGGTCTGTGCCAGTCGCCACCTCATCCCCTCCATTTTAAACGCACTATATAACAACATGCATCAACATCTTATTTGAGTGGGGGGAAGGAGGAGTTGGGTCTTCCAGTTTTTCTTAAACCCTCATTCTACATCTGACATTTGGGGTCTGGGGGGGTGTAGGATGCCTGGTTGGGGGTCTGGGCTGTGGGTGGGTATTGGACCTTTGGGGGCGATTGGGGGTGGGGCTGGTGCTCCGGTTCTCCCTGGATTGTTTGGATCCTTTGATCAGGGTTCCTGGTTCTTATGGCCAGCCCTTTGGCTGGGGTGGCTGCCGGGTTCTGGCGGGAGGTCAGCTGTGGTTGTGTGGTCATTGGTAGTACGTGGCGGCGATCAGGGGCGTGGCTTCACTTCGATGGAGTGCTGGCTGGTTGGCCTGATGTGACATTCACGGTGCGGGGTGCTGTGTGTGTGGTGGTGGTGGTGGTGGGGGGGGGTGCATGGGTGGCGTGCCGGGGCTTCTCCGGGCCTGTGGTGTGGTGCTTTAGGGATCCATTGGTGCGCTGGGCCAGCCTTCCTCGGCTGCTGCTCCCTGCTGCTCTAGCCGCCGGCCTGGGGCCAGCTTGCGGTCACTGTTGGGCAGGAGGGGCGCATGGACGGCCCAACAGAGGCTCTGTCGGGCTGTCTCTGTGTGCCTGTTTGTCTCAGGTTGGGTTTTGGGTGCCCCCCCCTCTCTTGGACCAGTTTTGGCCCCCCATTTGGTGGGTCGTGCTCCACTCCGGTGGTGGGCCCCCCTGCCGCCGGTGCATTGGCGGCTCTCAGCAGCTGGGGCTGGGTGGTGGGGTATGTGTGGGCCCGCCCTGGTGGCTGCCTGCGGGGGCCTGGGTGCCCTGGCTTTGTCGGGCCTCTGTTGGGGGGTGGTATGACCTCGGGACTCGGGGCTTGGTGTCCATGGTCGGATCCACTCTGGAGGGGCGGGTTGCCGGCGGGGCCTGTTGACTCGTCGCTACGGCCTCCTGGGGGTTTCTGCATTGTGGTTGCTGGGGATCGCCCAGGGCTTCCCTTTGCTTCTCTCTCTGGGGGGTGAGGGTGTCCCTGTTCGGGGACTACCGGAGTTCCGGGCTTGGGGGCCGCTGTTTGTCTGTGGTTCCGGTCTTCCCTGTGTTACCTTCGTGTCCTGTGGGGACAGGTTTATGGGTCCCCACATCCACTATTGAACATTTTTATGGAGAAACCTTATAGTGATAAGCATGCTCAAACAGGGGTTTAGATTCAAGTGTTTATCAGATACACACTCAGTTGGGTTGTGGTGGCCATCAAATATATATTGTATTACCAAGTAATGTATAAAATACTTTCTAATGATATTTATAACTATCATTACATAAGTTGTTTGTTGTTGTGGTTTCTTGGTTTTGTCGTTTTTTTTCTCTTTCCGCAGGTCTAGAGGCAGACTTCAATGATGTTGATTTGTGTTCTCTTTATCCCTCTCTCTCTCCTCTATTCCTATCTCCTTCTTTACATTTTAACTCTTCTCCCACTTTTCTGCTTTGTTATCTTCTTTGTTTTCCGTCCCCATGTCCATTACATCTGAAACAAACCCAAAGCATATTCTAATAAAATTTAATTTATATATCAAGTGGAGCATTAAGGCCAGCCATAATGCTCTGCTTGTGAAAGCAAATCTGTTGGGCATCACTTTGACACTCAGACAATAATTCTAAGTGTCACAATGCCAGACAGGACAAGGGGAAAGAAAAACAAACAAACAAACAAAAAAAAAACAATAAACTGCCCAGCGACGGACTGTTTTGTATGCGACACCAATGTATTAAATTCCCCTTCTTCATCTCTGATCTGGCCTTTTCTTTTGGTTTTTGCCAAGAGGTAAGTGATCTCTTCCTCTTCTGTTGATGCCATGACTGAAATGGTGTGAAATGAAGGAATTTGTCACGAGCGAATTAAACTCAGGTCCAGCGTGGCTGCGGGAGGGTCTGGAGATTTCCTGGTGTGCTGGTCTGATGTGTGGGCTGTAGAGTCAGCGCTCCCTGTTTTTTTTTTTTTTTTTAAGATCTTTTTATTAACAACAT